AGAGAATATGTATGCAACCACCTTAATTAGTACTAACGTGCCACATTTAATGGTGTAATTTTTTTTATTAGTAAAATGATTTAGTTTTTATTGGTCAATCATTAAACTAATTGGGGGTAGTTTTGACTTTTTGCTAACAAAATATAGAGACTATCTTCTATGGCTTTTGTTTGACTAAAATTTTTTAAGGTTAAATACCCTTTTTTATCCCTCTCTTATAGGAAAAAACCCCTTTTTAGTTTCTACACTGAAAAACTCCTTTTTTGGTCTTTATTGTTTGAAATCCAGCTCTTTTTTAATCTTTTTGTCAATTAGATGACAGTATGGCATAATAATCCGTTAAATGTCTTTTTTTTTTCTTTTTAATGGTGACATATGATTACACGTTGCAAAATTGATGAGTTGGCAATCAAATTTATTTTTCATGTAATCAATAGGTTCTAAAATAATTAAAAGAAAAAAAATCATTTTTTCCCTTTGTCTTTTCATTTCCCATTTCTATCCTCATCTTCTTCCTAAGCCCAAATCCCCGATCCTCTCTACCTTTGCCTGAACTTAATCCCCTTCTCATCCATTGATTTCTTCTTCTTCGCCAAACATTCCTCCATCAAAGCCCTCAAATCTTCACACCAATCTTCATCTCAATTAAAGCTCAAATCTTCACTAATTTGCCCCCATTTTCTTCCCCCTTTTGTCTTATCCTCTCCTTTCCCTCCGTTATCATCTCTTCTTCTTTTTTTTTTTTTTTAAACCTTTGCTGGGTTTGTCGCAAACCCAAGCGTGACTTGGCTTCATCATGCCCGAGTTCATCTTGGGTTCACGACGAACCCAGAGCACACCTAGGTGGGTTCATCCTGGGTTTTTCGCGAACCTAGGATGAACCCAGGCGCGAGCTGGGTTCTCAATCTCTACCAAAAAAAAAAAGAATGTTCTTCTCAAACAAACAACTCCAGAAACATCCAGCAACAGAATTGGAAATGAACCAAAGAGCAGCAAAAAATTCAGGAAATTAAAACATCATGAGACACACACATGAAAGCAAACTTAAATCTGTAAATTTTATTTATGGGTTCATAAACTTAGTACAATGAAAATCTCGTTCAAACAGCCAAATCAAGCAAAATATTCCAAGATCTACGAGAAACAGGATCTTAAACACATGGGGCCAATTTCAAGGGGTCGATTGCTTTTGGGTAGCCAGTGCATACCTGGGTGGGTTCATCATGAACCCAGGTGAGAGCTGGGTTCGTCTTGGGTTCGTGAGGAACCTAAGATACTGGGTTTGCGAGGAACCCCGAATCTTGGGTTCTGTTGATGAGCACACTTAAAATTTCAAAATAATGAAAAATTAAGTGTAAAAATATAAAAAAAGGGAGTCGCCACTCGTCCAAATTATAAGGTGAGACAAGTCACCTAAAATAGGTATGCGTAGAGATCGGGGTTCGAGGGTTCGATTAGGAGTGAGGAATGACATATGCGCATCTCACAATCTTCTGTTTAAACACAGTTGCATACTTTAAAATTAGGGTTTTAATTCAACTTATTTATTATATTTATGTTTGAGCCTTAATAAGCAAACTTGAAAAAGAGATAAACCAAATTGCAACATTCTTAAATTTTTGGACTGAAATGGATGAAATCAAAGACATATATACACCACAAGCACAAATAAAAATTAAATGGACTAATTTGATTAAATCCAAAAACATGAAGGACTGATTTGAAAAGAGTTGAGACCTATGGACTAAATTGCTTAATCATGAAAGTTCTAGGTGAAATTGAGGCAAAATAAAAGATAACTTTGACCCAAATTAAGAAAATTGAGGATTGAAATTAATTAATCAAGATAATTAATTTAATTGAATAATTAATTAAATATTAATTAAAATTAATTAATCATATTTATTATTGAGATAATTATCTCAAACTAAATTCAATAAATATGATTAATTTATTTTAATTAAGATTAATTAACTTAATTAATCATAAATTAAACTAATTAACCTAATTAATTAGTAAAATTTTTACATATATATCTTTTTTCTACTTTTTAACCTTTTTAGTTTTTTTTTTTATCTATTGGATCGGGTCGGGTTAACCCAACCCAGAAACATAACCCATCACCCAAATATGCTGAAAACAAATCAGACCTTAGACAGAAAAACAAAATCTGAAGCGAATAAAGAGGAATTTAGGGTTCTTGTTCATCAACACTAACAAAAGGAAAATAAATAAGCATCTACTTCAACTCAAATTCATGAATTCAAGAGAAAATGTTTGATTTTTTCATTCATAATATCATTATCAAATACAGTCCTACTACATCGAAATCTAAGAAAAATTGTAACAAACAAGGCAAAAGTTTTTTCGGAGAGAACAGATCGGAATAGGAAGGAGGAATTCCACCCACGGTATCAAGCTCCAACCATCTCCCTCACTGCTCTTCTCAAAACTTTCTCTAATAAGAAAAATTACCTAAGAGGGATTAACCCAAAAAATGTGCTTTCACTGGGAACTCAACGATCCTCCTTTCAACCGTTGCCCCAAAACAGAAATTCCTTCCTCTCAACCGCCGTTGTTACCCCCTTTCTTCTCCACGAAATCTCCTTCTACTGCTCTTTGAAAACTCAGGAGACTCCCAAGACCAGACCCAAAATCAACCAAAAATCCCCCACAATCAAACTCCATAATCAATTCAAAAGAACCCCCCAGACCTCTGCTTTCTACTCTATATATATACCCCAAACAACAAAATAAAATTAAAAAAATGAAATAAATAAAGAAAAGTCTTGCTCCGTCAATCACTAATATACCAATTTTGTCTGGTATTGCTGTTTTTTCTGTATGGCTGTAGCGTGCAGGAGGCAGGGGCGCAGGATTGGGCGCAGAGTGCAGGAGGCGTAGCAGTAGGGGCGCAGGTGGCAAAGGCAGGGCTCGGTGCAGTAGAGGGGGGGCTAGCTCGGTGTGCAAGGGAGGTATGATTGCTGGAAATGGGATCAGGCATGTAGGGGTGTATGATTGCAGGTGATTTGGGCACAGAGTGCAGGCGATCTGGGCATAGAGAGCAGGATTGGTGCAGAGCAAGGCTGGTGATGGCTGGCGGGGAGCGCAACAGAGGGCGTAGGCAGCTGCAAGCTCGGGTGCAACAGCAGCGGCGCAGGCAGCAGGGCTAGGGGTCTGGGCTCGACGCGTAGCAAGCAAGGGGCAGCAGAAGCGTGCAGGAGCAGGATCGGCACAGCAAGCCGGGGCGCATTCTCGATGCAGGCCAGCGGGAGCAGAGCGAAGGGGATCTGGGTTGCAGGGAGGGGAAGACCTTTTTTGTTTTTTTTTTTTTTTCATTTTTTTGTTTTGTTTTTAATTGGGGTTTTGGGTCTTTTGGGTTTTGAGTTTTGGGTTTTGGGTAATGGTGGGCTTGGGTTTTTGGGCTTTGAGTTTTTGTGGGTTTTTGGGTTTGGGTTAAATGAGTTTTGGGCAAGTTTTTGGTTTTGGGATTTTGGGCTTGGGTAGTTGGTTGGCTTTGGGTTTTTGGGTAATTGGGTTTGAGTTTGGATTTTGGTTTGGGTTTGAGTAAGTTGGTGGGCTTTGGGTTTTAATGGGCTAGATTTATAGCTTAAAGGATTTCGTCCCCCAACTTTTGATTTCTTCAATTGAGTCTCTTGTTTTAATTTCTTTCATCTTTCTTTTCCAATTTTCTTCGCAAAAATCTCCCATTTTGCTCATGAACCTAACAAGAAAAACAAAAACAAAAACAAAACATATTAGTTAAAAAATAAAAATAAAATTCTATTAAAATTTGAGTTGTGACAAGTTCCTTGCGAACCCAAGATCTGATTTTTAGAAGGTAATGTTGAGAAAAAGAAAAAGAAAAAGGAAGGTCAGAGGAAAGAGAGGATGAGACAAAAGAGGGAAGAAGATAAGGGTAAATTAGTAATTAAAGTCTCACAAAATAACCTTTAAAATATTTATAATAGTAATTATGTAATTAAATGATTGTTTAGGATATATTAGACAAAAAATTTTGTCATGTCATTAATTTTTATAGATGGATTTTCCACGTAATTTAAGTAAAGAAAAGAAATAAGTTTTTCCGTTAATTAACCTATCATATCAGCCAAAATTTAACGGAGGGATTAAAAAGAGATCGGATTTCAAACAGTAAGGACTAAAAAGGGGATTTTTTTGGTACATGGACTAAAAAGGGGCTTTTTCCTATAGCAAAGGGACTAAAAAGGGTATTTAACCAATTTTTTAATATGAAAGTCAGAACTTTGGATGCACAAATGTGGGGTTGACTCTATTTTTTTGGTTTTAATATGTTGCTTCATCGCTAATGATTTAAATAATTTAGTAGTAATCTCATTTCGTTGGAAATAAGAGATTTTAAATTCGAATCTCATGACATACGAATGAAATGAAATAAGGGATAGGAGATGATTGTCTCTCGTTATACAATGAATATCAAAAAAATAAAAATATGTTGCTTAATCAATGGAATATCAACATAGGATAATGATACGTACACTCATGAACTGGCACCCATTTTTACACCCAAATTGGTTTAAACAGTAAAATTACAAATTTACCCTTCTCACTAAATCTATTTCCCA